TACTGGCAGAGAAGAAGGTTACAGAAGGAAATACTTCAAACTATACAGAAAAAATAATGGAGTGGAGAGATAGGAAATATGTGTAGGTTTGTTTGGATAGATATATGTTAGCGTAGCATTTGTATAGAGTTATGTAGAATAATTTAATTTAGAAACTGTTAGCAAAGGTGGTTTTTCTTAGGTTTGATCAGCAGTTGTCCCTGAAGAACAGCCATGAATATGGTTATACCAAGAATACTGGTAAGAGCGGAAACAGTATGAAGTTTGGGCATGTCCAGCACCAGTTCTCCGTACTTAAAGCAACGGGACCCTTATATTACTCTCTGTAAAGGATTCATGCAGTGTCCATGCCCTGGAAATGTGCTGAAGGGACTAGTGAAAGGACACAGCTAAAGAGACTCTAGAGCATACAGAGGTCTGGAATAGCAGAACATGTGAGACCTCATCCTGTAGTTTCTCTGTGGATCCACACAACCTCTCAGAATTATAACAGAATGGTCTTTTTACTATGCCGGCTGTCACAAGACACAGCTTAACATCAAAATGCCTGTCCCTGCTTGTGAGGTTCTCCTAAAACTGGCTAAGCGATGTGGCATCCACTATATACTAACCACTATGTACTAACCACTCAGAGTTTACAACTTTGACCTTGTTCAAATGTAGTATACCCTGGGGACAATTTAACTTTGAATCACACTGATCATGTCTTGGTAGTGGTCTTGAATACTGTGGAACTAATCATTGAAAGGTTTGTAAGGGACTATAGTCCTGACTAGCACTAGAGTTTTAATCTAGGCTACAGGATTTTCTTCAGAACAGCCAAACAAGAATGTTGCAAGCTTGCATAGGCAGTTGTTAGTCAGAGAAGGGAGAGGGTTCATTTGCTTTGGGCTTTTGCTTGTTCTTTTTGCCTTCTGGAGAACCTCAAAAACTGTGGTACTCGGTACCAGATAGTGAAAATAGACAAGTCAGAACATACTTATTTTTAGGATGTTTTTTGTTGCATTAAACTTGCAAAAAATGAAATTACTGTGCAGCTTAACTGGACCCACTGTAGTACTGTATTTTCCAAATAATTCTATTGCTGATGTCTCAGTGTTGCTTCTGAACACAAAATACGGTGACATGGCTGTGTATGCTTGTGCGTATGGATGCTGTGGACAGTCTACTGTAAATGTGCATGTGTGGTATACATACGTGTAACGTAATCAAGAGGCTTAAAAAAGTTAATCTGAGTTGAGAGATACCCAGTTGTAGTAAATGTTTCCCTAATTTAAAACTAGAAATAGTGACAGAAGTCAATGTAGTCTTTTGATGAGGATGACATTTTTAAGGTATGTTTAATATGTTTTTGTTAATTATTGATGGAGGCCAAGCTGTCTTTTTGGAGGAAAACATTGTTGCTGAGAATTAATGTTTCAGCTGGTGAGCTAAAGAGTTTAAAATTTTTATTGTTACAAATTTTGATTTCAGTCAACGTCTGCTAGAAAGAGAGGCTTTAATAGATTGGTAACAGTGACACTGTTGAATTGGGAGATGGATCGCTACACTAAGGCATTTAATTGCCATAACAGTGACACTTTAAACCAGTTTTCAAACAGTAGACTGTAGTGTAAATCTTTGCATCACTGCTGCCTATGCACCTGGTGACGCTGACTTCAGAAAGACATGTTCAGGGCTGTTGTCACCGAGCTTTAAATAAATAACTAAATTTTCACTCACACTGTCTCTGGATTTAATTGTAGCTTTCCTTTTTGGAGAGAATGGAACTGAAATTGGTCTTCGAAATGGCACAGCAGGATTTTGCAGCTCTTTGGCTCTGACTGCACCAGTATGGCACTCCTTAGGCTGCAACAATAAACCATAAAAAGGAAGCTGCCAATAACATTTCAGACTTGCTTTCAATTTTTCTCACTCTGTCTTTTCCTAATATTGTTTTAGAAAGACTTCACACTTTCAGTGGCATCGTATAGTTCCAGTATCGTGATTAAAATAGGTATATGACATGCTAATTAACAGTACACTAGAAGTGCACCATGGCTTATGACTCATCTCTGAGAAACACTTCATCATGGGAATTTAAACAGGACATCATTTATCTTCGCCTATGTGCTTTGTAAAGAATAACTGTGATGGCAGGTGGATGGGGCTTCTTGGAAAAATTATCTGTACCTTGCATTTAATCTTGGTTTTAAGAGGGATGAGAAAAGATAGTTCAAGTCCTAAAGACCAGATACATTTTAGTTTATTTATGATATAACTGCTAATTCTGGCACAAAAAAGTAGACTATCGTAAGCCACAGGTTGGTTCGTTCTCAAGTGTTGCTGGTGTTCTGTTCTTTTTGGGCTGACCAAGCCTGCAAAGCTTCAGCCTTTCTGTCAATTAGTGACCTTCTACTTCGGAGGTGATTATGTCCGATTCTTGGGGTTTGTCCTGTGTGCAGGTTTCTGTTTCTATTGCAGCTGAAACTGAAATAATTGTAGGATGCTAAATATCTATTTCAGTACAGGGAGATGAGTAAATGGTAACAAAGAAAAGATCTGAGGAGCCTCACGCAGGGGACGTCTGTGTGATTCCTGGTCATCGTTGCCCAAGATAATTTTTAGGGGAGTGTTTCTGCATCTAAAATCAGTGCTCAGGGTTTAGGTATGAGATATTGGAATCTAAACACTGCTTTCCAAATTTGAGGAGATTTAGATTTTTGAGAAGCAGATTATCAGCTACTGTTAGTTATTCAAAACTCTCGGTGAATTTGGTGTCTCTCCCTTTTGCTTTCCATAGGACTTTGATGCATAGTGTTACGCTTTTTGCAAATCTAAACTGACACTGCTCTTCATTATTACATATCTAAATACATGTTGATATTTGCCCCTATGTCTGCGTGATCAGATGGGAGTTAGAATACATGTCGTATTCCACATTCAGCAAATTGTTGGGGAGTAAAGCTTCTACCCCAGAAAAAGCTCTTATGAATTGGCAAGGAAAAATTCTGCAGAGAAGCAGCAAAAAGTTTGGAGGTGGCTTTTGGTTTGTGGTGTTTTTTTTCTTTTAATAGAAAATGGCCAGATACAATCTAAGCCTTGTAATAGCTAACCCACTGTGTGTGATTGCAGTTATGGAAATAACTGTCTTTTGTAATAACAAACTATTTCTCTCAGGGAACCTTTCTGCAATTTAAGCAATCCTGCAAGAAATTAAGTGTTTCTCCTGGCTGAGGGAGGGTGCCAGATTCAAGCACTTCTCTCACAGGAAATTTTTAAGAAGTCTGTTACTTCAACAAGTGCGGAAAAACACTTTATGACCTTCCCATCACAGTCACGTACTTGCTGGAAGAGCCACAAAAAAGTTTGTCTATGAGCTTCAGGTCCAGATATGAGAAGACGAGAATAAGCACCAAATTTTGACTGACATTCGTCCTTGCTCACAAAGGCGATTTATATCATACGGTGCTACAAAAAGACATTTTCTCTTAGGGTCTTGTTTACTATTTACTGGCATATAGCATTCCATAATGTGGCTTTACCAAATTAGAAGTTTTCTTTTTAATTATTTCATATAACTAATTTCAAACTCTCTTTTTTTATCACTCGTGCAAAATATTTGGGTACGATTCCTCAGACCTTACAGGACAGAAAATTAACTAAGAGTGTGGATACACTGATTTTAATATATTGAAATTAGTAATTGTCATCATGATCTTCATGTGTGTTTGGAAATAAAATAAAATAAAATTTCAGGCTTATGAAGGGAAGACTGCCTTTTTAACAATGAGGCTGCTGTTTCCATTCTGTATTGCTTCTGTTGCCCTTAAGATATTGAGGTGAAGAAATAAAGTAAATTCTACCAGCTAAAAATAACAAAAATAACAGAAACACATAAATCAAGTATAAATAATAGCAACACAAGTGAACTGAGGATTTAAAACAATAGATGTGGTCTCTAATGGCAGGAGTGGATAAAAACAGCAACAAAATGTGCTTTAATGGTTTTGAATAATTATTACCATTGTCTAGGTCAGTCAACCTTTAAACATTGAGAACTTCTAACATGCATGTGCATGGCATCTTTTTTGAGAATCACGTCTTTTTCTTTGCAGGTAAAGTGAAGTAAAGAAGAGTGTATGTTTCGAGTCTTAGAGACTATCACACTATGTTTCAACAAAATAATTTGCTTTGATCAATCAGCAGGGTGCAAATGGCTGAATATTGTTATGCTTACACCTAGGTTGTGATTTCGAGTATTGCAGAGGTTAAAAGATAGTTTAACCTTTGTTTGCTTGTTTGTTTTAGTGTAGTTTACAATATCGAAGGTCTATCATCATTATTTATATTCTGAGGAATATAGTTAAGCTAAGAAGTCTCACAAACACCAAAAATATAACGCTATTTTAATGGAAACTGTTATGCTTTACAAGACTTTAAAGCTTTATATATAAAATACTTGTAACACTGAAGTCCTTAAACTGCACTTAGTGAAACATTTATTCATGTATACTAACTGAGTAATTATGAACGTGTTGCTTGCTCAAAGCATTTATATGCTGGGAGTGAAAATGGGTTGTTGTCATTTGACTTTTTTCTTTCTTTTTTTTAAAAAAAAACCCTCTCATTTTCCAGTGGACTGAATATATTAGTGATGAATGTGCTGTGAAACTGTTTGTTTCCATGCTGTAAAAGTTTCATGGCTCCAGCAATTGCTAGCCATTTTACCACACAGCATCCATCATTTTGTCAAAGTTTTAATGTTTTGTGTGAACCACCTAGGAAAGAAAGGAGGAGAAAAAGAATGACAAAACAGCCAAATTTTTTCACTCCATGCCAAAAAACTGACTGAAGTTTATCCCTGTTTTCCCTTAGAAGAATTAACGTGACATTTTCCCGAAAGCCGTATTAAATTTGATTGTCGGTTATTGAAATGTATGTTTAAATCAGCGGTGATGCAACTCTAAATGCTGTTTTTCATTAATGTCATTGAATCCTTAACCCACAACCTTTGATACATAACAGAATTAGAAAGCCTTTTGGACCATTTGGCTGAAGTTGTGCCCTCACTGCAATATCTCAGTTTGCTTGGAAATGTGGCCTGCCCGAATGAACTGGTCTGCAAAGAAAAGGATGAAGATGACTACCAGCGGTACAGGTTAGTGTTTCCACTTGTAGCTATGATAAGGTATGCCAGTTTTGGTTTATTACTGGAAAAATATTGAGCTAAAATGAGCTTAGAGTCTCAGACATCTACCCTATTCTGAAGGCATTGTGGCATGGTCTGCTGTGAAGCACCTGGGAATCGGAGTCACCCCATTTCAGTGCGATGGTTCTCGGGAGTCCTATTTCAAGCAGCACTTCAGTGCTGTACAGCACATGTTGGAGCTGAGCAGGCGTGCACAGGGTTTCCTGAATGCGGACGCTCGTATGTGCCTGCTGATGGCCTTTCCTTCTTTAAGGCCGAGGTAAGGCAGCATTTACGTATGCTAAGGAGACAGTCAATAATAAAAAAAATAATCACTAAACTCAGATAGCCAGGTGCAGTATCTTCTGCTAATGGTCGACTATGGTGATGAGTTTCTTCTACTATAGTTATCAAGGCACTATTAAAGAACACAGAAGAAAGGTCTCCTCCTATATTGTGCTGCTTCACTCAGAGCAGTTTGTGTTTAGATTCAAATAAAACCCCAAACTATCTCTGTAGTGTAATTTTATTGAGCTAGATTACACAAAAAGTCATCTGGAGGTTGATATGGAGGCCTGATAAAATACTACATGCCCAACTGATCCAACTGAAATATTACTAAAAATTACAAGAGTTATCTTTTTTTTTAAATAAAAATACTTGTAACTGATGATAACTATGAGTGTATATCAAAAACTTACATAATGTCTGCTGAAGTGACATAATTTTCATAGCTACAACCTTTAGGCAAGTGAGACGAGACCTTGATTATAGAAAAAAAAAAAGTCATTTGATTTCTGTGTCCTTGCTCACACCTGATACAAGATTTCAGTCCCTGTGTGCTGGCATTTTTCACGTCGGCTGAGAATGGCTCTCTGAGGCAAATCAGAGCCGAGCAGCGCTGATCACCGTGCTGCCGACCTCGCAGAGCCTGAGCTTGCTTTTTATTAGTAGATCACCCGCAGTATTCAGAGTTCTATAATAAAACTCTGATTTTTATCTTCATGTAATCCAAACTCTGCCGCTGGTGTTAGTATAAAACAATGCAAAGTGGCAGAGACTAAAAGCAGGTTTATTGGGAAGTGGCTTGATTTCGATGCGCCGATTTATTGCTCATAAATGCTGTAGGCTGAAATAGCAGCCCAGCTGTCCTGGGCGTGCACGTACTTTTTCATGATTCCAAATTTTTGAGCAGGATTTCTAGGTTATCATTAACCTAAAGAATATCGCCCTCTAACCATTCAACTTTGGAAGCCAACTTATCTGTAGCATTTTGGCTTTCATCAAGTAGAGCAGCCTAGATTTAATAAAGCATTTTCCCAGTGCTTTCACACTTAAGTGGAAGGTATGCCTACTATCCAACTTACGAGAGCCTAATAGTGCTGTCTCTATGTAAATTTATGTGACATTTGCACTAGAGAATTGCTTAAAAAATGAATGATATTTCTACAGTTTACTGTTTTTCACTTTAAGTATGTTTTCTGACAATATGTCTCCTATTAATTATTTAAGCAAAAGTAGTACGTTAAAGGAGCCATTCAGAGGCAAGGACCCACGGTTCATTTAGTGCTGTCTGAAAAAATTCCTTATTGATTGACATCCTCTGTGGTTATGTGATGTAATATTTATAATATGTCACACAGCCATACATCAAAACAAGCATGGCTGTTGTTTCATTTCAATGCAAAAATGTTGATTTTGGGGAGGTCAAGGTAGTTTTAGGTCACATCGTGGCAAACCTCCGTGTCAAAGGGTGAAGTGATTGTGTTTATGCGTCCTCTGGAAACTGCAACATTGCTTCCATTTTTCCTCCTTCAATTTTTCAAAAACCTGGGTATTTTTTTCCATATAAGCTAGGTTAATTCAAGCTCTTTTAAGAAAGAAGAATGGGCTTCTAATTAGTTGAATGATTTATGGTTCCTCCGCTATAATGAAAGCTTCCTGATCCTTTTCCGTAGTTATTTGTTACGTTATATGAAATGTGTTTGCCAGACATTACACTTAGAAACCAAAAGCATCCATCTATCTATCTCTCTGTTTATTCATCTTCAGGGGAGTAGATTCACCTATATGGTGGAACTGATTAAAAGTACTTTGCTAATTTTGCTCTAAGTAGCTGATTGTCAGTTTTGAATACACATTCTGGAGCATCTTGGACACAACTTTTTTTCTTCCTTCCCCCAAACATACAGATTTATCTCACGGATTTAAAGGCAGCAAGCTCTGCTGAGTGAGAAAGTATTTGTATTTTATCAAATGTATTGCTTCAAATCTCAAAAGCAAACATTTGAAACAGTCAGTTTCAGCATTTTTTAATGGTTTGTAGTAATCTTTTTGTCATAACATTTGTATCTTTTGGAGAAAATTTGTCACACAGAAAGCATCGACAGATTGCATTTCAGTGAACCTGAATTATGGAAACATTTTGCTTTACTGTAAACTTTAACTGGTTTGGTTTTGTTCTGGATAGGAACTTCTTTTTGTAAGTTTTTGCAGTGACCATTGGAACCGCAGCTTCATTATTCATTGAGCTTTAATTTCATTCCTACGGAGTTCAATTAGAGTTCAGGCTATTTAATTCCTCAGCCAGAAAGAGAAAGGTGCTAGAAATCAAAGCTCTATGTAATCTTTGCATTCCAATAAACTGAAAAGGTCTGTAAAACCCCCAAAATCTCAACCTTAAAAAAATGTGGGAAGTCAGAGTTGAAAAAACTTGAGATTTAGTGATTTACTGTGATATTTGTAACAGAGATAAAAAGTAATATTGCATCTTTTAGAAATAATTAGATTTTATCATAAATACTTGGAAAATGTAGATAACTATGCTTTTTGTCAGGAAGTTACCATCTGGTTCCTCAGGTAATCCATTGCTGTATGATTTCTATCAGTTTCAATACTAAGGCTTTTCCCTAGTTTTTAATTAAATTAGGTTTTATTACAAAAACATTGTTATGTTTTTTTCTCAAAGTAGTTACTTTTCTTCTAAGAAACATAGTAACATTTGAGTGGGATTTTTTTTAGAAAAAGATAAATTATTTTTTTACCGTCCCTGTTATTCCTCCTTACCTTTCAAACGTGTCGGAGAACAAACTGATGAAAACTAGATTTGTTATTGGAATTTTTTCTTGGACAGGAAAAGAAAATGGAAAGTTCCCTTCTGCAATATTTTTATAAGCAAACTTATTTGGTTCATTTTAAAAACTCATGGTTTTTTTCCACCACTGTTAAATGGTTTTAGTTTCTTTCTGTAAAGAAAAAAAAAAGTGCTATAAGTTCTTACTTTTTATCTTATTTTTTAAGATCTCTGTATTTGGGAGGTGATATTTTGTTAAAGCATATGGTGAAGTGAGGGCAAGGGAAAGCTGAATATCTGAAATGGAATTGTGGTAGGAAAGTTTTAAAAGCTTTTGGCCGGAAAAGCCAGAAGCACAGAAGAATAGCTTGCAAACCAGTGTGTTCTGGAAAATAACCTATTCTACAATCTCTGCTTTGAAGATTGCGTGAAAGCAAAGGTCATGACCCAGAGATCAAAGTAACAGAAGTCAACACAGTAATTGCTGGTTGCTGCTCTTGTACCCGCGCTCGGTCAGTCCTGCGGGTGCATTGTTTGCAGGGAGAGCTTCAAATGTGGTGTTACCGGGCTGTGAAAAAACACCTGGGTCAGAATGTGTTGCAGAGCGTTTGCGAGTGCTGCAGGTCACCTGGCCTCTTTCCATTAAAGCGATAGGATTGGGAAGGATGTATGCCGTGTGTGAAGTTTTCCGTGCTTGCTAGCTCTTCTTTGCTCCTTATTGACATTTCCTGGAATGATGCATTCATTAAGTGCTGTTGACATGGAAACAAGGGCAAGTGGAAACAAATGCCCAAGTTTATTTTAAATTAGCTTAAAAGTACATATGCTAGATATGCTATCTTTGGCAGGGGGAGCGAATGGCGATAACCTTATGAAGTCCTCTTAAGATATAACAGCAAGAAAGGAAGTGCAAGCATTTCGTACGGATTAACTTTTCAAGCTAAATCAGCTATTCCCATCCCACAGGAGTGATTCTGTCAAGTGCTGGGTCCTCTTACAGCATTTTCAGTTTCCTTGCAGTTTTGTTCTGTTTTATTGTGGTTTGGTTTTGTTGTAGTGGCTTTTGTTTTTAAATTGAGATGGAACCTACTTATCTATTTTAAATAGTCTTGTTACTGAATTTGGAAGGTAATATAAATACATATTTAAGAAGCAATAGGAGGCTAGAAGTCCTTACTCAGTAATGAAAATAATGCTAATATACTTGGGCAATACTAGTGAGCTTACTATTGAGACTCTCTTTTAGCAGGAGGGATTGAAGTCTGTGGTACTTCTGTATATGTTTTGTATGTATTTAATGAGATGATTAGGGTATTCCCTTACATCTGTAGAATCTATGAATATAATATATGAATCCATGAAGCTACTTCACTGTTTGCATGAGGCCTTGTCATTTCTACAGTACCTGGAGGAAAAAACCCTGTATGTGATAAACATCAAATAGCCATACAACTTCGGAGATTAGCCACTGGTAAGGATTTGTGAGCAAGGGCTATTATACAATGGTTTTTGTTCAGCCAGATAAATTGAAGTCTATAAAACCGCAGTTTGTCCATACTAACACAGTAAGTCGAGATGTAACTATCATTGTTATTACATGTATAGAGAGATGTTTTTCTAATTCAGAGAGTTGTTTGCTACGTTGAAGTAGAGCAGAGGACGTTAAAGCGTGAGGAGGTGGTCTGGATTTTCTGAGTGACTCGAGAGCCCCTGAGAACTACCTGGTCATGCCCAAGCAGTGCCAAGGTTGCACAGAGGCTTTGTGATCTTCTAGCGTGCCTCATGCCAACGTCGTGCCCTCTGTTCTAGAATATGTTGGTTTAAATTTATGACCTGCCTTCCTTCAGTCTGTGTTGAGGATGTTTTGTCGCAGATGGAAGTTCTGCAGCCAGCTGTA